AACTAGTGGCCAAGTCAGGACTAAAATCCAAGTCCACTTAAACACCATCCAGTAGTGTCCTACAGCAAGCTGTGTATTCACTGGTACTATGGAATGCCAGCTTCCAAAAATACATTTGAAGGTACTTCTTAAAAAATTCCACTTCAGGTAGAATTAATCATCTCATTTAATGCTCACAACCATTATAAAGGGTCATTAAACCCATTTTACAGATGAAAAGACTGAGGTTCGGTAATTTTTCCATTATGGCCTAACCAAGCCTGTAACTAACTAGTGGGATCCGCATTTGTAGAGATCTATTATTTCAGATCTCATTATCAGCCACCATATGAATGTTGTCCTCATTTCCCAGCTCAAGCTGTACCCTTTGTACTCAACCCTGGTTATTATAATTAACTCTTAATGCTTCTGTTTAATGTCTGTCAAGTGGGGAGTTTAAGGCATTGGTGGGAGTTATAAGGACCTGAGACCAGCCCACATGAAGGCCACTGTGACACCCTGGAGAACAACCAAGCAACACTCAGCTCACTGGATTCCTTCTCTCTTGGGACTGTCACTCCCATGGAGCAATTAAAGGTAGGTGAGACACTCCTAATCTCTGATCTGAAAAATCAGGATACCTGCCAACCCATCCAAAAAAGTCTGTTGGAAAACACCAATGAGTTATTTTATTTATTTATTAACTTATTTATACTCTACTGGTTTTCAAAATGAATGAAAACAACTTATAATTAAAAAAACAAATGCAGAATTTATAAAACAATCATTAATGATAATATCTACCATTTACTGAGTAAGAGACTAAGGGTTTCTCAGAACACAGGACTTTCAGTGCAAAAACTGAGATGGTTGGACACTCTACTAAAAAGTTCTGATAATCTCTCTCTATATATAAAAACCCTGATATGCAAATATAATAGACCAAACAAAGGAACAACTGAACAACAGAACTGGTCGATATGATGTGTGCTGACCACCAGGGGGCGAACTCGAAACATGGCAGGCATCAGCAGCAGGCGACAGAGCATGGAGAATGATGGACATTGGCCACAGCGGGATGATGGAGCAGATGAGCAAGGGCGCCAGACCAAGGCACAGTACCAGTCGCTGTCATCAGGGCGAGCCTCTGGTGGTTACTGAAAATTATTTGCTCCTGCGCACCATGGCCCTGCGTAGTGCTGGCACCCACTGCTAGTGCTGGAGCCACTGCTTGGAGCCACTACTTGTACCTACTGCCCGCACCCAGAATCAGCCCCATTCACTCGGCACCATCAGTAGGTGCAAGCAGTGGCTGCCTGCCCCGAATGCCCTTTGGGGTTTCTCCATCTCCCCCTGCTCCTGATGAGCAACTGGGGCCGGCAGCCCACACCCACACCTGCTGCGGGTGCTGGCTCCTCTTGAACCTGCTTCCAGCACTGGAGCAGCCACTCGCACCAACTGCCAGTGCTGGAGCGGCTGCTCGCACCCACTGCCAGCACCCGACACTGGCCCCAGTCACTTGGCATCATTAGCAGGTGTGAGTGGTGGCTGCCAGCCCCGATTACCCCTTAGGGCTTCTCCACCTCCCCCTGCTCCTGAGGGACAATCGGGGCCAGCTTCGCTCACATCCACTACTGGCGCCAGCCCCAACTGCTCCACCCTGTCAGCATGTGGGAGTGGGAGTGGGAGTGGGAGTGGCAGGATCAGAGCTACTGGCAGTCAGGGGACTGGAGGCCATGGCAGGGACCGGGTGGGGGCATGGAGGATGGGCCAAGACCTGTCCCTCTGCCCATTGCAGCCTCGAGGCCCACAGTTCCTTTCAAGGTGCACAAATTAGTGCACTGGGCCCCTAGTATTTTATAAGGCTTCAGGTAATTAAAAACTTACAAAATCATTCCGGTACTTTCAAACCTACACTGCTTCCTTTGACAGCTCCTTCCACCATCATTAAATACTAAATAATTTTCTCAACAGTCTTCTTGGGAAAGATGAAAAGGGTTATAGAAAAATAAAGCCCTCTTAATTGTTGGTTTTCCATCAGCGCACCTATTAGTGTGTTCAAGACTTTGGGTAAGAGGGGCACACAAATTCTGGGTTAAATTCTTCCCTGCCAACACCAGCTGTGTTTTAATATTCTTTCCCAAGGTCACACAGGATTGCTTTCTTAAAAAAAAAAAAAAAATCTTCCTGCCTGGCCAGCATGGCTCAACCTATGAACTAGGAGATCACAGTTTGATTCCCAGTCAGGGCATATGCCCGGGTTGCAGGATCCATCCCCAGTGTGAGGCATGCAGGAGGCAGCCGTTCAATGATTCTCTGCATCATTAATGTTTCTATATCTCTCTCCCTCTCTTCCTCTCTAATTAAAAAATATTTTGTAAAAAAGTCTCTACATCACAGAGATGTAGGCCAGTGAGTTTTAGAAAGCCTCATCAGAACTCACAGGTAACAGCAAACCAAGACCAAGCAGTAAACTTCTTAAAGCCAGTTGAACAACAGCTCTGAAATCAGCGATGGGCTTCATGAAGATGGGAGCAGGTCTTATGTGTCTGTGTTCCCCCCAAAGCAACAAAGCTTGCAGATAATTATTGTCTCGGTTGCCATCTTCATCTTAGGATGTCAGAGCTAAAAGATCCGTAACTATCATTTGGTGCAAATGTTTACAGATGAGTAGACTGAGGCCTGGAGAAAGGAAGTTGACCAAGGGGGGAGAGAGGAGTGTCACAAAGCTGAGATGAGACTCACTGAATTAAATGGGAAGTGAGCTCGCCCTTAATTATGGTGAGAAAACCCCAAAAAAGGCTACATGAAAGAAAACCACGGATCATTTAAAGAAGCAAGATTGCAACTCAATCCAGGTGATCTGCCGTGGCTCTTCAGAGGCCTCAGTTGTAAGCGAACAAGGAAAACAAATGTCTTAAGGATCCCATGCAAAATAAATGAGTAACATTTCAAGTGGAAAAGACAAAATATCTTCAGGGAGAGGAGCAAAGCTGTGTGTGACATGTTAAAAATTAAAACACACACACACACACACACACACACACACAAAAAAAAAAACTAAAGAAATTTTAGACTAAATGTTTTATAGGTATTTTCTAGCCAATTTAAATTTTTATTTGGACTAAGGGCAATCTTTTAAAAGAAAAATTACAGAAATATAATATTAGCACATTTCACCAAGATATTTGGATGCCTACCATGGGCCCAGTCACTGCCAACACATGAAACATGAAAAAGTAAAGACAAGGAAAAGGTGGGTCAACATCATGAAAATAGGAATACACTTTCATTCAAACACTCATAATGATAAAACAGCTCAGAAAAATGCCAATGAAAATCTCCAAATCTCAAACATAGTTTCTTGTCTCAATGCACAATACAATCAAATCAATGGATGGATTGAGCAATCAATCAGTATTTCTTAAACACCTGTTACCTACTCAATCCCTGCCTTAAGAAATAAATGAAAGAGAGGAGAGAGTGGGCGCGGGGGGGGGGGGGGGGGAGAGAGACAGACAGACAGACAGACAGACAGACTAGGGGCACCTTTTTTGGGCTAGGGAAGGCACAGTCAGTGCGGACTGGGGGAGACAGAAGAGGTTTCACAGATGTAGAGCAGCCTGAACTGGAGCTGAGCACAGCACCAAGATGGAAAGGCTCAGGGTGTGCTCAGGTGACAGAGAGCCAACCTGTGCAGCTGGAGCAAAGGGTTCAGGTAGTTTGTTTGGTTAGTGTTTCTAAATTTGAGAAAGAGAGAGAGAGAGAGAGAGAGAGAGAGAGAGAGAGAGAGAGAGAGAGAGAGAGTTTTTTGAGGGAGGGCGGTCCCACTATTTTTTTAAAAAACAAAAAGAGCATGTGACTTCGACATGCCCCGAGTCCAATTTGCCAGGGATGGCAAAAACAGTCAACAGAACCCTAACTTCCTTTCTCTCTTAACTATACAATAGTTTTCAAAGAGGTTTAGTCCTACTATGAAAGACGCATGTTAGCCATGGGAAGGGTCTCATAGAGAATGCGCACCCGGCCTTGAATAAACAAGGGAGAGGGCGACCTTTTGCCCCATCTGCTGAGAGCCCCGCACATCCTGCAGCAGAGGAAAAGAAAAAGCTGGTGTGCATCCCGGTGCTGCAAAATCCTGCCTCTTCATTTCTCCCACACTTGGTTCCCTGAACAGTTTACACCGCACTTGATTCAAACAGTATTAGGGAGTGAGAGAAAAGTACAATTCCTGGACTCCAGTGTTCCACCGTCCCTTAAACCTTCGTTTCCTGTTGGAATCATGCACATGCAGCACATTTTCCACTAGCAACAGGCCAGGCAGCGGATTCAGTGGGGGCTGAACAATTAGTCCCAATTAGGCCTATTTCCCAGCTGAATGTAAAAGGTTAGGTGAGGGGGGAGGAAGTAGAAATTTTCAAGAAATATTTCCTCATGGAGACAAGCAATACAACATAAAAGCAAACTGAGCTAGGGCAGTGGTCGGCAAACTCATCAGTCAGCAGAGCCAAATTTCAACAGTACAAGGATTGAAATTTCTTTTGGGAGCCACATTTTTTAAACATAAACTTCTCTTAACGCCACGTCTTCAAATCAGACTCGCCCAGGCCCTGGTATTTTGTGGAAGAGCCACACTCAAGGGGCCGAAGAGCCGCATGTGGCTTGAGAACCGAGGTTTGCCGACCACTGAGCTAGGGGATCAGGAGGCGACTCGGCCAAAATGCATCATGTGACATTAAGCAAATACCTAAACCTCTCCGATGTAATCCAAAAAATGTGGGCAATCCACCACCACCCAAGAGAGGCTCTGCAAATCAAACTGTGGTTGAAAGTACTCTGATAACCTGAGGTGTTACACAGAGGTAGGGTATTCCCCCAAGCTATAGTGGGGACCCCAGATAAGCATCTGTTTTGCGAATCATAGGTTTTTTATTCTCCCCGGCATCAGTCATCAGTGCCTTTCTTATTTTATGTCTATTTTCTTGGTTGCTAGTTTTTAAAAGTTCATGAGCAATACTTACATATGTACATGCGGCGGCTGGAACCTGCTCTGGTTGATGTTGTAGTGCGTGAAGGCCTGGGTGGGGTTAGAGCTGTATTCATCCACCGATATGGTAACTTTGCCTTGAGAAGGAATCCCATGTGCCATCCTTCTTCTCTATAGACATGAGCAATTCACAACTTTCCGGAGCGAAGGATGGAAGCAGGCATGGTGCACTTCAGCCGACCTCTGAACCCAAGGATCTCCTCATCAATCCTGCTGTGCGTTTCTGGGGGAAAGAAAAAAATTGTAAAATGAGAACAAAGAAAAAGAGGGTGTTCAACTATGTGACACCCGGACATGAAATTGGTCCCCCCCCCAAAAAAAAAAAATCTCCAAATGTGTTGCTGTCTCGTGGATACAACCTTTTCCAACTCTCTCTCCTGCGAGCACTTCAGAGTGGACATTACACTCCAGGTGACACCGCTGGCTGCCAGCAAATCATTTCAATGGTGTTCAAACGAAGATTTCCTCTTTAATTATAATTATGGCACTTAACATGAATTACAGAAGGGCCATATCCCCAGTTGCCATGGAGTCTAACTATAAATGGTTTGCGCTTGAAGTGCGAGAGTCTTCCTGCTAATTGGAATATTGGGTCCGTACAAAGTTGGTGTCAGATGATAATTTAAAATCTCAGTGCCTAACGCAGCCATAACATGCAATAACCTACTGGTATGTAAGTTTAAAAAGCTGTGCTCATCACAGTAAATGTGTGTACCTGTACTACGTACATCATACGTGTACACATTAAACGTATTTTCTTTTTCTTTTACAAGGTGGCTCCCAAAATACATAGGTACTCAATGCCTGTGTATTTTGAACATATGTGTATGTGTAGTTGAATACACATATGCATTCAACTCCAGCAAAGAACTTTAGGGAAAGGCAAACGCTTCGTGCTAAATCGAACATCGTGTCTCTAAAGACTGCAGTCACTTGGGGGAAAGGCAGACATCCCCAGGCTTGGACCACCACTTCGGATGCATTCATTACCATCGCTCTTCCAGGCAGGAGGAAGCACTAAAAGGAGGGGGACCCTTACATACCCCACCTGCCTCCTCCTTGCTTGTTGCTGCCTAATTCTCAGTAATTAATTTCATACTTTTTTTTTTTTAACCTTTCCACTCGTTCTGAACCTTCTTTTAAATGTCAATGTATGATGTGCTGCACCGTGTCCAGAAAGGAGGGTGTTTACTTTTATAGCAGGTGTGCAAAGACGGAGCAAGCACAGCCCCCCACGGAGGCTGTTGCCATCGATCACGCCGTGGAGGAGCGGCGGCAGGCAGCACAGTCCTCGGGTAACCCCTGGGTAACCCGCACTCTGACTTTTAAGCGCTCCGCATCCGAACCCGTTTGCCATTGTGCCCCATTAAGCGTCTGAGTCTTCGCTGCTCTCGCAAATAAAAATATGTAGAATAACAAGATTGGATTTAAATTTGGCATGAAACACCTTACATATCAAGCAAAAGGCAGATGGCCTGCTATAGGCCATTTACTTTATTATTTCGCAACCGGGGGCTCGTGGAGTCCTCCATATGCTAGCTGGGCTGAGAAATTCCACAGCATTCCACTCAAATCATCGCCTTGTTCATCTTAGCAAGGCGAGCTGAACAACACACCCAACCTTGCCCGCGTGCCTAATGTACAAAAGGCCCTGCCCAAGGAGGAATCCCTGGTGCGCTGGCATTTTAAACTGTGTCCCTTTGGGTCCCCTTTCTTCTTCCTGACTTCATGGGAGGTATGAGTCCTTTTAAGCACCAGTTGATAGACAAGCAGGCCAGTAGGATTAACGAAATTAAAGTCTTTCCTTAACCCCTCTGATGTAAGATATCTGTAAGAACTGCTTACCAATCATAATGTAGCAGTTTTCATACCAAGTTTGCAGCTGTTTCCTTAATTTCCCCCCACAATTATATTTTACTGTTATTTTGCAGAACAGTAAAACACAACACCTGCTTCAAATTGCAGTCCTGTTCTAAGTACTGTAATTCTCTTTTGAGACACAAAGTGCCGAGACGGTACTGAAGCGCAAAACTGCATAATTGTGCCATGCTGAAAAGTAAATACAAATGAAAACATCTTCCTGTTATAGAAATGACTGCCATTAAAAAGAATGCTAGCCATCAAAGCACAGAGGGGGAACACACACACACACACACACACACACACACACAAGCACATTTCCAGACTGCGAGAACTTCAAGTGTTTGCACAATTAGAGAGTGATGTAAAAATTGCACGGCAATTCTTATGTTCCTGCCATCAATGTCTATTGTGTGAAATACAGGAAGAAGCGAAGGCAACAAAACCCATGTCTAGACCATTGTCGTGACCTCTAAGGAACAATCCTTGCCCTCGGTGCCAGAAACAGTTTAAATATTTCTGGAACAAACTCACTAGTTAAAATAAAATATACATACCCGTTATGTAAATGTCTATGCAATGACTTACAGGAGTCAGCATTAGACCCTGCCATTGGAAGCCCAGGAGAGACGGGACTTAGAAGGTGCTCAATTCACACACCTAAATGGTCCGCTTGGACATCCGTGCTTCTTTGCACCTTTGCCCAGCAAGACAAACTGACTATCTTTTCAGCAGCAAGCACAGGCCCCTGGAACGTTGAATGGCTTAAATGGGTGACTGGCACCTCATTTGAATTCATCTTAACCATGTTCTCTTTCAAATGTTTTATCAAAACAGTGCACCTGCAGTGTCTATCTTCTTTAATCTGGGGTCCTTTGAAGAAAATGTCAGACTGAGGCAGAGAGCTTCACAACTTTCACAGGAACCTTTACAGACAAGTCAATAAAAAAAAGCTGATTTTTAAAAATGCTATGTTTACCCCCACTCACATCATAAAATGAACTCACTCATCTTACGAATTTTAAACACCAACACATGGGAAAGACCTTTATGGGTAAATTTTCAGAAAAGGGTCATTTCCCTCCCCTACCTGGGAAATCTGTTAAAAGCTTGCGACAAGACACAATGATACACTGCCTTCAACTATCAAGAAGCTACATCACCCTGCTTCATATATTTAAGGCAGTAAAACCTTGCAAATGATCAGATTTTGGAGCATCTCATCACACTTTCATTACTTTTCGCATATAATATTTTTAAGTTTTTCAACACATTTGCTCCACAAAAACAAAGGAACCCAGTACTAAATGCCAGAAATCCTAAAGAAAAATTAAAAAAGGGACTAGCAATGCCAAACATTCATGCTGGTGTTAGTTTTGATTTTTTCTTAAAAAAAAAATGCCCTGTGAGCACATTTTGAATTTCCTAGACAGCAGTCATTTCTCCTGTCCCTTAAGCTGTGCAACTTGCAATGTCCCCCCTCCCCAGGAAATCTAGTTGGAAAACATTTTAAAGTTTGCTGGCAATGAAAGGATTAAACGACGAGGAATTAAACAACTGTCTCCACCTCCTAGACACCAGAAATCCAATTTACCAAAAAGTTTCCACGCAGCCACTCCTGACCTCTCCCCCCCCCCAAGCACCGCCGTGGCATAGCCTATGAGAAAGGAGCCCGCAAAATCGTGAAATACAAAATCGTCGTCAGAGGATGCTCATTTCATTCCCCTTGCCCTCAGACGATCGCCCGACCCGCCTGGCCAGACTTTGGAGCTCGCCCGCTCCCACGGCGCCAAATTTCGTTCGTTCTCCTCCCTCTGGCTGCACGGATCCGGTGATCGCAGAAACTCTTCCCCCCCCCCCCCCCCCCCCCCCCCCCGCCTTGGCTCTCGCATGCCCACCTCCAGTTACTCATCCCTGCATCCCAGGGCGATTCGCACGAGCCTTCCAGGCGGCTACTCCGCCAGGCTTTCGGGAGAGATGCCGAAAGCTCCACGTGCCGCTGTCCGCCGAGCGCCCTCCCCGCCGCCGCACTTACACCTGAACTTGTCTCCAGCACTGCGGACACCCGGCTGGCGCATTCTTCGGGAGGCGAGGAAGGGCAGGACTTTTCCTCCTGCGCCTTTGGCCACGCGCAGAGGCTATATACGGTGGGGCGGGGGGGGAGGGGGGGGCGCGGAATTCTCTACTTTGGATTGGTGTGTTTGTTTTAACCCGGGGGGTGGGGAGGCTTCACCAACTACACACACACACACACACACACACACACACACACACATACATACACACAGGCACACACACTCACAGGCTCGCCCTGCCCTCGGGCTCGTCCGGGCTCCAGCTCCCCCTTCCTTCCTGGAGCACCAGCTCGTCTTACTCGCCGAGTCCCCGGCTGCCACTGCCGTCGCCTTTGCCGTCGCCGCTGGCACTGTGGGTGCTGCGCTCGCGGCCCCGTCTCATGTCTTCCTTTCTCCCGCTCCCCCAGCCCCGGGATTGATGGATGACCGCGGGCGGCCAATGGCTCTGACACGGCGCCATCCTCGCAGAGGCATCGAGGCCCCTCGCCCCCGACGCCGGGCTCCGGGCGGGCTGGCATCCCCGAGCCCGCGGAGCGGAGCCCGGAGCCCGGAGCCTCCGCCGTGGCCGCCCCGCTCCCCGCTCCCCGCCCCGGATCCGCCGGGCTGCTTCCCCGGGAGCCGCGGAGCAAGGCAGGGGGGAGAAGCCAGCAAGGGCTGGAAGGGGGTGTAAAACCCAGTTTCCCCCCACACACACACACTCCTTTGGAAAAATCTTTTCTTTCACTTAAAGTTTTATTTGTGTGTGTGTGTTTTCCCCCGTCCTGATATGTGTGTGTGTGTGTGTGTGTGTGTGTGTGTGTTTGCAACATCTCAAACCCATTCCATGTTTTTCATGACTCGAATTTGCACTTCATGTGGGGTGTGCTGGGGGGGGGGGGGGGAGTAAATATGTTATAAATCTGCCCCGTGTGGGCATCCTTCATTTCTTTCCTTGCTGGTGGGTTCTAGCCCCCTCCCCAATCTCCAGTAAAAAAATGCCACCTTCGCCTCCTAGGCCGCAAACCCCGGGCATTCAAAGGCTTTGCAGAGATAACCCCGTGAACGTGCACATAGCAGAGAAACTCCCGCCTCTCTCCAGAAGAAACCGTGCGGCCACGGTTACTTTTTCTCGCCGCTAGTCCCCAGTGCCGCGGCCCGAGGCTGCGATCGCGGAGCCCGGAGGCGGCGGGGGCGCGGGGTCGGGGCACGGGGCCGGGGCGAGAGGCAGCGGCGCGCGCGCGGGCGGGCGGCCGGGGGCGGCGGCGGCGGCGGAGCGCAGCCCGAGCACAAAGCTCCCCGGCCCCGCACCGCGCCCGGGCCGCCGCGCACGCCCGGGGTGCGGGCCAGCACAATGCACCCGGGCCTAGGCCGGGACGGCTCGAACGCATAACCCCGGGACTTTCTAGTGAACAGCTCGCCTGGCCCTCGTGTCCCCACCCCCAACCCCGTCGCCCGGCTTCAGCCGCGGCCCCTCACCGACACTCTCTTCTTCCCTCCGCCTAAGAAATCCCAGCGGAGGAGGGGGCGGGGACCTGGGGACCCCGAGAGGTCGGGGCCGAAGACTCGGGGGTGGGGGGATTAGGGGGAAGAAGAACAGAAGGGCAGGATGGGGAGTGGGAGGGAGACAGCTCCTAAAAAATAAAAAAATAAAAAGACTTCGCTTTCGTTCGGAGGAAGAACATAAGCCTTCCCCGGGTTCCGAATGGCTCGGGGAGCGCCCGCTCGTGCGGATGTCGGGGGCACCGGGGCAGCCACGGTCCTCCGCCCCCGAGCCCCCCGCACGCGCCTCGGACAAGGCACCTCTCCCCCGGGCTCCGCTTTGTGTGCGCATTTTCTCCCTTCCCCTCGCGCTCCGCACCGGGCGCCCGGCTGCCTCCTCCCCCTCCCCCGCCCTCCGCCTCCCTTCCCGGGGCGGATTACCTTTCCCGGGCTGCGCTCCGGGGCCGGGGGATGCCTTCAGCGCCCGGCGAGCAGGCGATGATCCATCGCGGGGCGGCCGGGGCCGGCGGGAGGCGCGCGGGGGGCGGCGAGGGGCGCGGGCGGGCCAGAACCTCCGACCTCCGAGGTCCCGCCGCGGGCTGGGGCCGGGGATCGGGGGCCGGGGGGACGCGGCGCGGGAGGGAGGCGGGGGTGGCGGGGGGAGAGAGGACAAGAGCAGCCTCGATCTAGGGAGAGAGCGATCGAGGGGGCGCGGAGGGAGAGCGAGGGCGCGGCGAGCCGGAGGGAGCGGTGCAGTGACAGGGACTGCCACTGGGGTCAAAGGAGCACAGCTCCAGGAAGCGGGGCGGCCGAGGCGCCGCTCCGTGCGCGCTCCCCGGCGGGACCCCGCGCCCCCGCGCGCTCCTCCTTCAGCCCCGGCCCAGCCGAACCCCCCGCCTGCGCCCCGGGGCTTCGAGGTTGCAGCAAGAGGAGGAGGAGGAGGAGGGAACTGAGGGCGAGGCCGGCAGCCTGCTGGCGCTCCCGGGTCAAACAGGCGGCAGGAAGCCGAGCTGCAAGTTCATCCTCATGAGTGTGATCAGCATAAAAAAAAAATGATAGGGGGTCGGGGAGGGGTGCTACGGAATCCCAGGACAAATAAAGGGAGTTTTTCCCTCCAAAAAGGGCGCCTTTTGCAAAGAGAACAAACACCCCGGCCTTCCACCCACCGACCTGCCAGGCGCTGTCTGGAGTCCTGGCAGAGCTACAGGGCGCAGAGCTCGCCGCTGGGACCAGGCGAGAGGCCTGGGGCACTGCGCTCAGACCAAAGAAGGCGACCCTGGGTCCTCTCCCGTCCGCTGAACTTGGGCTTTCCTGGGGGAGAGCTATGCTCCCTTTCCTTGAGCCTTTCAAGTCGCCAGATCTACATATCCACCACGCACACACCCCTTTCTCTCCGCAGTGTTGGTCCCGGGAAAGACAAGGCCAATCCAACTGATAATTGTTTCACCTTCAGGAATGAAGGCACGTTCCAGATAGGGCGTTGAGGAGGGGCAGATTCTAGTTGTTTTCATTTTTGTCTTTGGGGTACATTTCCCCCAAAGGATAAGCCCTTCTTATACGTTTTAGAAAGCAAAGTTCTTCCTATTTTCTCTGCTACTTTGGATAATGGGGGAGGATGGGGGTAGAGGTTTTCAGAATTGTATGCAAACAACGTAAGGAAAGGGAAAGCCGCTGAAATGATCGAAGACAAGGGAAAGAAGGCTTTTAGAAAACTTGGTTGGCAAGGCTGTCTATGAAAGATGAGGTGGCCCGGTGATGTTATGCCATTGTCAGAGCTGAAGGAATTGGACGGCAACCAGATTAATTCCTTTCCAGGAGTCAGACTCCAAGATCTAGCCATTCTCCAAAGGGAAGCCCAATGGGTGTGTGTGTGTGTGTGTGTGTGTGTGTGTGTGTGTGTGTGTGTGTGAGAGAGAGAGAGAGAGAGAGAGAGAGAGAGAGAAGTGTGCTAAGTAGACTATGTGACAACTGACTAGACATGCTGGCTGAAATTATATCCCCTAAAAATAAAAAAGGAGCAATTTCAACCTGGTCTGTGGCCTCCGTGCTGAGACTAATTGGTTTCCAGGGTCTGGGGAGGAAGGGGGAGAGGCTGGTAGGAGCCCCTATAAAAAAAGATCAAACGGACTTCACTTGAAAATATTTCCCTTTTACTGTAGGCTTTCCTGGCACTTGAATTTTAAGTAACCCATCTCTTATGCCTGGGCTGAAATGAAGGAGGAAGGTGTCTTGCTAATGTATTTATTTTGTTTTACAGTGTGCCTGGAGTGTAGGTGCTTGTCAAATGTGCTGGGATCAAGGGACAGTGGCTACCCTTGCCCAGCACAAATCACAGCAAGCGACATTGACCTTAAAGAATGCCAGAGATGGGGTGGGGGGTACCTTTTTATGTTGTTTTTTATTTTCCAGCCCAGCAGCAAGCACTGACTCGAGTCATGGAGGAAATGCTTCGTTTTGTTTCCCTTATTCCGTAAGTTAGCCTGTACTCCCCTTATCTCAATGTTTTGAATTCTTAGACTGATTTGGGATAATTGAATCAATCAAGAAAAAAATTGGCACCAGCCAAGCCAAATAACTTCTGTGGTTTTCTAACTTTTTCTTTCTTTAACTGATAGTCAATCAAAACAGCCAAAGAGTGTGTACATGATTCTAAATCTATGTGCACACAGATTGGCACATTTTACAAGGTATTTAAAGCTAGAGAAAGTCAAGCGAGTGGTCCTTTACAACATTGATGAAAATTTGTATATCATTTTGCTGACTTGGGAAAAATTTGTAAGTTGCACTATTAGAAGAAGTCAGCTTCTACTGCTGATCAATTATCAACTGAGAGGTAAATGGCCAAGCTGTATTAGAGTTCTGAAATTTTATTCCCACTAAGCTACCAAAATAAAGAAGCTGGAGAAATGTAAGTGAATTTAACTAGTAAATCAGGAACAAAAGGAATACATTTTCCAAATAATGCTCATTTCATAGACTGGAACATACCACTTTTTGTTAAATCATATTCTCTACCCATATAGTTACCTAAAAAGTGTGTTTTAAAATGATTGGATGTGAACCATGTCTGTCCCCTGACATCAGCTTTGAAATATCAAGCCTCAATACCAAATTGTAAATGCTAGAGACTGGTACTTTTTTTTTTTTTTTTTTTAAGATAAGCCTAGAATCTCCATTTTTTGGTTACTGTTGGTAAATTCAATTCTTATTGTTTATAATGGGAAAGAAAGGAAGGACAAGAATCAAAAGCCAAGTTTATGATTGCCTCTATGCAAATACTACAAATTTTTTTCTTTAATGGAATGTAAATCTAGACCCTTCCTCCAGTGATTTCATCGAAGGAACAGGCAACCATGCCTTCTGATAGCCTGCTGTAATATATTTTAAAATATCTTTTCAGAATGTATTTCGGGAAGAAAATGAGAGGGAGGAATGTGGGAGAACTCTAGGTGGGAGCTTGGAAAGGGAAAGCTGTTTCCTTTGGAAGCTCAGTATTTAATTTGGAGTTGGCTTTCCTGCCCCCTATAATAAATAGGGTTTTCAGTAACTCAGGGGCTCTTTGCATAACAATAGTGTGAGTTTTCTTCAGGAAAAAGAAATGTGTTGAAACTATTGCCATTTTACGGAGCAATTTTATTGAACAAACAGCAGCTATTTTGCTTCTTTTTTTTTATTGTCTACATTTTTATCACTTTCCAGCAAAAGCCAAGATATGTCATATGAAAAATAGTGCTTGTTAGTAGAGCTGTTATTAAGATGCAATTAGAAAATAACCTGATCCAACAAACACCTTTGCTTTATTCAAATTCCTGCAGTTATTATGTTTCCTGATCTGTTTACAAGGTGTTTTTTTTACTGTAACCCCCTCAAGTTTAAGAGCTATGTCCTATATTCCTTTGTGTCCTTCATTCCTATGTGCTATGCAAATAGTAGACATTTGGAAGTATCTGTTACACAGTTGTATGGGTCAGTAAATGAGAAAGTGAGTGAGAGAATGCATGAGTGAATGAGACAACTACACACTGAAGGAAAATCCATACCAGATAGGCAGGGATGGAAGTGACCAGTGTTAAGAGGATAAGAACTGAGGACTTTCCATGGAGTTCATATCATATAAGCACATTCAAAGGAAATTGCTAATATCTTTAGAGACATGAAATAATATATGATTGTTTCAGAAGTTGATTTTCTCATTGAGAAAATGAAGATTGTTATGTATCACATCTGTTTAAAGTCAGTCTTAAAAAAAAAAAAAAAAAGTCCTCACACAAGGATATGAGTTTTAGTTTTTAGAGAGAGAGCAAAGGGGAAAGAGAGAAAAACAATGATGTGTGAGAGAAAACATCCATCCTGAAAACACCATGACCCAAGATAGAATCTGCAGCCAAGGTATGTGCCCTGACCGGGAATCAACGCACAGCCTTTTGGTGTATGAGACGATGGACAGACACGTCAACCAACAGAGTCACCCAAACAGGGCAAAGGTAGCCTTCTTTTTAAACACAGTAGGATGCAAAACACAATAATAATAATTCTGAGTAAAAGTTATAAATTTTACAAAATAAATGTACCAAGATGTGGTTTCAAAAGGAACATATGTGATTAACCTGATCTTTTTGATAGATAATTTTTTGAAATCCTCAAGATAAATATATACATATTTTTGTCCTTTGTATTCAAAATTTCCTGCTGGTTAACTGTGGGAATCCCCTTCACGTCCTGTGTAGTTCAGGGTTCGGGTTCGGGTTCTGGAGAAGGCCGCACACAAATGAAAAGAGACTAGGAAAGTATTAATCTGGCAATTTTGGGGGCCAGGACTATACACTGCTCTGGCCTTGCTATCCCTTTTATTGAGGCTGTGGGAAATACCCATAGCCCTTGGGCAGGAAATTCCAATAATAGAAATTTACAGCCGAGACCGGTTTGGCTCAATGGATAGAGCGTCGGCTTGGGGACTGAAGGGTCCCGGGTTCGATTCCGGTCAAGGGCATGTACCTTGGTTGCAGGCATATCCCCGGTGAAGGGTGTGCAGGAGGCAGCTGATCGATGACTCTCTCTCTCATCGATGTTTCTAACTCTCTATCTCTCCCTTCCTCTCTGTACAAAAATCAATAAAATATATTTAAAAAAAAAAAAAAAATAGAAATTTACATAAGACAAACAGAGAGGTGGAGGCTGCTTCAGCTAACAATGTCTCAACCAAACAGTGAGTGGTTAGAGCAATTAAGGTTGTTGACCAGCCTTCTCAGCTTCCTGTCCACATCTCTCTATTAGTGAAACAGTGATTGGTTTCCGGCAGTTAACCAATAATAATTCCAGAAGCATTAGAACTGATGATATTTCATAAAGTAAAATAAATTATATAAGTACTATCTTAGAAAGACTAAATTTAATTCTGCTTTGCCAACCGCATAAATAATAAACATGGAGGGACCGAAATTTTTATAAAACATTCCCTAATTCTTACCATTCTTACTAACCAATGTCTTGTATGCATCAACAAATCAGGCTAATATTATTTATGCAACAATAATTTTAATAATTAGTTTAAAACCAAGGTGCTAAAAAGCATGTGTTAATGTGTTTTTCATCCTAGGATGAGTGTGTTCATTGAGGTAAAAAGCAAGTAATCACTTTTGAAAGATGGGCAGTGTGGAAAACCCATAATCACCTGATTAAATAAAATGTATGTGGGAGTTTTCAAGTTTAATAACTCAATTTGACAAGATATATCAATATTTTGAGTATGCAATATATAATGTAATTTTTTTTTCTTGTCAGCAAAAGTAAATAAATGAATGAATATATTTTTAAACTGATTTTTAGAGACTAGTAAAATCGAAAACCCATTGCTCTCTGCATTATTACTATAATGGTTCTGTTATTCAAAAAATATTTTTTAAGCTTTGCTCTGT